ATAGTTCTAGAAACTAGAGGGCGTGAGAATAGGCACGTGATCTCGATGACGCAACAATATTGTGTAAATAGAAGAAAATTCACATACAATATGCGAAAAAAAATATCTAAGGAACAGAAAATTCCAAGTGTTTAAGTGAACCTATAGCCATTTGTTTATTCTTTCAAAATTAAATATTAAGTTGTTGTTGTTGTGTTTAACCTTATCATCAGTATTAATTAAATTGCTTTATATTTTAAAGACTATTTTAGTATTATATCTCCCAATGGGTCAGCGGTAACTTTAATGACTTACAACGCAAAAGGGGGGTTCAAATCCCCGCGATGGACAGAGTGAAAATAGCGTATTGTAATTTTGGACTAAGAAAACAACAATTATATTGGATAGTGTACTACAAAATGAATAATACTGATCGATGTTCTTGTCATTAAAAAAAGGCTGAGAATATGAACTGAAATTTTAGAGTATAAATATTGAAATTTAATTTTTTATATATAAAATTCTAAGTGACAAAAATTGAGCTGGATAGCAGTTTTTCGTTATACCACTGCAATATATTTTAAATTGAGAATGTGAAATAATCGAATACGTTCCCTGTTGGCAACATGGCAAATTCTGATTGGCTAACGTAGTTCCAGTAGGTTAGTTTTTATATGTCCTGCGAATTAAGCCTAGACTTTCGAAAATTGTGAACTAATTTGGCTTTTAGCTAAAATTAGATCTTAAAAAAAGCAAAAGATGAATTCTTGACAAAAAGTAAGTGTTGCAATATTATAAAATTATTTCTAAAAGTTCTTTTTAGTTACTTTTACAAATATTAGGCGTATTTGATTAACGTTACGCTTTAGCGTTTTGTCCGAACTCTTACAAATAATTGCACATTTTCATACAAAGGTACAGATACTGAGTAGTAGTAGTACTAAGTGGAGCTAAGCCTCGAGACTAAGTTGAACAAGTTGCTATCTCTTAATCTTACTGATACTTATAATTTTATTTTTAATTTGTAACAGTTATCATTGTGTACGTGTGCTTACAAGTTTAGTAGCTACTCTTTAGTCTTACTCAGTTACTGTTGTTGTTAATGAGTGTTATTGATTGACTCATGATTGAGGCTAACACAAATTAAATTAAAAGTATTCTAAAAATAGGTAGGACTAATGTATTTTTTCACTGTTCCAAATTATTTTTCACTTTAAAGTTTAAGAAAACGTCGTGTAGAATGGGGAAGCGTAACTAGATATATGTAAATTGTAAGGTAAAAAATGCCCCATTTTATATATATATATAATAAATGGTATCAATATCATGAAAGCTTAATTATTAAGTTAATTATTAGGCTAATAATAGTAGTAGCTTAATTACAGCAGTTAATTTTAATTAGTCTAAAGGAAGTTTTGAAATTTAATATGTAGTTTAATTATTAAATTAACCAAGGAAAAATTCGTTACACAAAAAAAAGTGTAATAATCATATAAGTTATATGTTACTTGTCATACACAAATGTATATTAAGATTTTTTTTCTGTATGTTTATGTGAATTTATGAAGGTTACTCTTACCCTAGTAAATTATCAGTTGTCAGTTTTAGCTTCTGAGCTGTTTAACTTAAAAAATAGTGTCTGGTTATGGGGGGCAACAAATCATCTGTTACCTGAAAATGAAATAACCACTTGATAATTGTTTTATTCTAACCTCCCTTTCTGTTTTCAGTTTTATTGAAACCTGATTAGTGGAGTCACATAGTATGTGTAGACTAAATATTTGTCTTTCACATAAATCATAGTTTAACATTTCAGTTTTCATTGTGATCAAAAACCAGTAATAAAACAATAAGATTTAATTGTATTATTTATTATTGTAATTAAACAATGTTTCAATATATGGAATTTCAATTCATAGGACTATTTGTCTATACATGTCACTACTGGTAACATAGCTATGAAGAGTATAACCCATTTTTTAGATGTTTTTAAAATGTATATGAGAAATAATTAAGTTAACTGAGGACTGAGCCGTACTAATCCAATAGATTTATCACTGAATATCACAGAAAAGGTTGTATCTTCACATCATTGCAAGTTACAATAAACATAAAGTATCTACCCGTCTAACTTCAGCATAAAAATTTCCTCTGATGCTGGTGATATTTCATATGTTGTCATGTACAATCACCTTTCATGCAGTAAAGTATTCCTTGAATAAAAATCTTACAGCTCCTTTCGTCATTTTTTAGTACTATTGCTGTCCTTTTCTGCACTGAGACTCTGCAGCTTTTTATCTGAAGTAACTGAAATCTTGAACAGTATGCCCACATTCATTGTACAGGTATAAACAAATTGTTTGTAATTAGGCATAAATGAATCAATATGTTTCCACTTTTCCTCAATATAGTGTCATCTCTAAAGTTTTTCTGAAATGTCACACGTGTATACCAATAGCCTTAATAACCAGACACTGATGAGACTTGACTGGCTTTTCGAGGCTACAGTTCAAATGTTTCATATCGCATGATGTGCCCTTGGCCAATCATGGCAAAAGAATTCATGCAAGGGGGTAGAATAATATCTTGTGCTTGATTTAAGTTATCCATAATAATTACAATTTATTCTAAGGTGTGTTATTAACATATTTTTAATGAGTCATTTACTCACCAGTTTCTTGTGATTTTTCTAATTTCTATTCTGTGAGAGTTGCATGTTGATGTAATATATTGTGTAACTTAAGGCAGTGGTGTAAAATGCCTAAACTGGTATCTGTAGAAGTTTCAATTTAGTATGCTATTTGATTAAAATTGCAGAGAATTAGAGAATTCATGCAGTACTACAAGCTGAGCAAAGTGCTGGTAAGAATACTTTTCTCAATGAAAATGAACTTCACAGTTTTATGAATGGGGTATGGAAATTTGGAAAGTACAAATGAAGCATTGATGTTATGGGGCAAAAAAGGGGATGGATTTAGATGTGATTTCTGATAAAGCTTAAAAGAGCAAACAGTTCTTAGTTCTGTTCCCAGCTATGTTTGAATTTAAAATAATGTACAAACAACAAGGGTTTATTGGTTTTACAAGGCTGTATTTGTACTCCCACCCTTGGGAAAAGAAAAACTATTTTATCAATTATTTGTTTTGCTGGAAATCATTGATTCTCTTCTGAAGCTTGTGTAAAATGCTGGTCTCTTTATTATTTTTAATGGTAACTCATTCCATAAGCCACTCACTGTTAGAAAAATAAAACTGTTAACAGGAGCCTTGTCTGTCATTCCCAAGTCTTACACTTGTGTTTGTTCATCCTCTTTTTCAGGATATAGTATAATAAAATCAGAGACCTCTATCTCATTGACCCTTAATACTGTAAAGTTAAGACAACTTCTTACCCATCTTTGCTGAAAGAAAATATCTTGAACTGTCCTTATAAGTCAACCCTTCTTTCTCCAGAATTACCATTGTAGTAGCTCTACTTTGAACCCTCTCCTATAAATCAGCATCTTTCATAAAGAGACCAAAACTCTACATAGTATTTCAAGTGAGACATATCTAGTGATTAGCATACAGAGTTTATTACCTCTTTTTGACTATTAATCGGTATATCTTTGAAAACATTCTAAAATTTTCGAACTAGTGTATTTAAGTGTTTTACACATACAAAAAAGAAACCTATCATTCTATAGGTATTTGAAGAACTTGTAGCATTTCACTACAATTTAATTCTTTGTATTGTTAGCTGACACTGGACAGCTTGTACATAATTGAATAAATAGTTGTTTAAACATTTGTTTAACAACAAGTAAAAGCTTGGAATGGTCTATTCTTTCATTAGGCTCACAGACACACCCCTCCAATGTTTAAACTAATCTATTTATTCAGTTCTAAAATTTTGTTAATGTTACTACTTACAATAGAACAGTTTTGAGTGATTTCTAGCTATATTGAAAGTATCATACAAATTGTGATAATTGAAATGTATTAGGAATTTGATAGGGGGTTTCAGTAACTTTCAGTTATACATATTTTTCTAAGTGTTTGATTTTCTTTCTCCAACTTGCATGTATTATCTTTTCCTTACCATGTGAATGTTAAAATAACTTGGTTACGCAACTTGCTAATAACTAATGACATACACATTTTGTTTAAAACTTAATTTTCACAACAATAAATTTTCATTTTCAAATGATGTAAATGAACTGGGTAACATTTATTTACACAGTTTGTGTGGGAACAGCATTGCAAACTGTAATATTATTATTAATCCTTACAGGTAGTATAAGTTTCCATAAAATTTAAAAAAACTAAGGTTGAGTTTATACATATAATTTCACATGTGAGGGGAATTAATGTCAATTGAGTTTGAAAGTTAATGACAGGTGTTCATATTAAATTTCACTGAACTATGTGTATTCAAACTTATTATTGTTGTCCAGTATGCTGGACAAACTAAAATCGCACTATAAATCACACATGCTTTTCACTATAGGTTATTCTGGTTCTATCTGGTTTGAGTGAGTTCCTATTTACAAAAATATAAGGCTTACTAAGAGATCAGAATAGTGAATAAATATTAAACTGTGAACTTTGATCCACAACATTAACAGTACAGAGAAATTTGTCAGCTAACACCCATGTGCTGCATTCATGACTGTCATGTGAAACAAGACATGATTGGTTGCCTGGAGGGTATGAATCAGGTGGTGGATTTTGTCCATCCAATCATAGTCAGTACACTCCATGCAGGTGGTGCCAAGCCCCCTGTGAGCAAAGTGACTTTTGGCCAAGAATATCAAATGCTTGAACACTATTTGTTCATGATAATCACTGGCCTCACAGAAGTATAATAATCAGATTGTGTTCTACATTAGAGAGTATAAATGTAATTGTACTAGAAGAATCTGTACAAGTGAAGAATGTCTTTCAAAGTATAACATCTGTATTATCCTGCTGTACACCATCCTCCAAGTAGTTTTAGTTCCAAGTCAGGTATGTTAAGTTTAATATATAAATATATATATATAGGAATGGGCAAAAACAAAAGTTAATGTGAGATGTTGAGATATTTGTTTGAAGTAATGAAATAAAAATTAAAGATCAAATTGAAGTTGTTTTTTATGTTAAGCATCTGTTTTCAAATTTTATGTAATTTACACTTGCCAGTAATAAAAACTTAACATATCACTTTTTATTATGTTTTTTTACTCTGTTGTTTTCATCAAGGAAAATTCAAGCAGACTACTGAATCTAAAATTCGTTTGTCTATTTCACAGTTTCATGTACTAGCCAGTCATAGTTAAAGTATTCACAGGATCACAGTTTTAAGAGCACTATATTTGACATTGTTATACAAGTCTTAATTTCTGCAAGATCTGGAATGTGTTTTGGATCATTATTTTTTATCCTATTATTTTACAAGTTCAGTTTTGACTAATCTATTTTACTCCTTTACAGCTTCTTCCCAAACAGTAACTTCAGTGATGTTTAAATTATATTCAAAACCTCAAAATCCCCACACCTGTCAAGGGTTATTTGCTATGTAGTTACCTAAGTTCCACTTTTACTATTTTGCATTTAATTAGTATGACCACTGAGTTTTCTATACGTTGCTTAAATATAGTTTATGGAGTACACTATATTGGCAACTTTATCAGTTATTAGGTCAGCAAAATTAAAACCTCTTATTGAAATTTAATCAGTAAACATGGAATGTTTTGGATGCATTTCAGTGATATTGAGAAGCTGTTATACCTTTACTTATAATCCTTTAAAAAAACTGATATTTTGTGGTACATTTAAACGGGTACTCTTTCACAAAAAGATACAAGTTAAATATACTTTAGTGAACAAAATTAATGTAAAGAGAATTCAATTCCCCAATGTAAGGAAGAGGTTTGATTCAAGACAGCAAACAATGAAATACAAACATACCGAGCTTCTTGATATTGTACAAATTATGATTTTTGTTTTTACGAACACTTTGGTTTTTCAGTACAATGTGTTTACCAGCACTTGAGTTTGAATATTATTACTACAAGTAAACAGCTATTATTTATGTTTAAACACTTTTGTGTTTTTCAGGTACAAAACCCTGTTGGAAACTTCCAAGGCCATCAAAAAACATTTACTCATTAGGTAATTTGAAAGTCGTTTAATAAAATCAGTGTTTGAAAATGCAGTTTACAATCCTATCAACACCTGTATTGGGTGGCCTGCTGTTGCTAGCATGTACAGTGACTCAAATTGGCCCATTTTCTGCAATGAAGAAGGAGGTAGAATTACAAGATGGGGATGAAGTTGTACGAAGATCTTATGCTATAGTTTTTGATGGAGGCAGTACTGGTACACGAATCCATGTATTTACTTTCTTGAACAGCACAGGTAAAGAAATGTTTCTTGTATAGTAAATCAAACTGTGAAAGTTTTATAAGTTGTAAGAATTTGAATAGATGAACTTAGGTTTTCAAATTGCCTTTTGGTAATTGTAAAATATTCAGTGCTATATGTTGTTCAAATAGATGCTCAGGTTTGTGATAATGATAAAAAGTTATTCTAAAAACAGATTTTTTTGTTTATGAAACTATTTTGCCACTCAGTATTCTCTAATATGTAACACCTTTAAATATTTTTGGTATTTGGAAACAACAAGAGGTTGCAATAAGTGATAATAGTTGAATGACTTGAATTCAATGATTTATTCATAGAGACGGGCATGACCCTTCTTGATGAATACTTTCAAGAGGTTAAACCTGGACTGTCAAGCTATGCTGAATCTCCATCAAAGGTTAGTTATGTGATATCTCACTTCATAGAACACGTTAAATATCATTAACATCCCAGAACTAAGTTTTATTTTGTTATAAACTTTGACATTTTTTGTGGGATTTTTGAAGATTCATAAACTCAATAACCAAAAGTTCTACAGTTTTTTTTTTTATATTTTATTTGTTAGAGAATCAATATTTCCTAAAGACATCAGAACCACTTGTGAAAATACTTGTTTTATTTTAAATTGTAATTATATTTAATTTCAATGTGTGTTCTAAGTAGCAAAAGAAACTAATAAAATGCTCACAGCTAATTTTACTGCTTTGACTGCATGTGGTCTGTTACATATCTGTTAAAGATTTTAGTTTATGACTTGATAAAACTGACAATTGATAAATCTAGTTGAACTCGCTTGAAATGTGGACCTTATGTGGTAGTTAAATTTCATTTTATGAGCCACACCCTGAATTTAGTAATTGAAGTTTTAATGAGACTTTACAAAATATGATTGTCCTGTTGTTATTCCTGAGCACAATTGTAGAGTTAAGTATGTATACAATTTTCATTCTCTAATTTTTCTGTTTATGAAATTATTATAATAGAAAATGGTAATCAAAAACATTTTTCTTGCTAATAAGTTGGATAAATATTTTCAAGATTAATAAAACTTGGGTACAACATTTCATGATTTTAATTTTTTGGCTTTAGATTTTTTCCATTAAATTGTTGCAGATGTACTTGTCATTTAGCTTGTGTGGAACACTGTAGTTCATTATTAATAATTGTGTTTTAAATAGTAGTGTATCATTAATGTATTTTGAATCATGTATGCATTAAAATTGTTTAAAGCATTTGAATGTTGCAAAATAAGTAGTTAGGCTTATTTGAATTATTATAATGCTTTGTTTTTTACATAGTAGTAGACTAGGCACACACACAAAGTGAAAAACGGAACTTCATTTGATAATGTTGTAGATCTTGTGATGAATATTTTTTTATCCTTCCATCCTGTAACTTTCAACCGTATGATGTATAGCTGTAGAACCTGTATATTTAAATTTTTGGTCTCTGCCTATCCAAACCAAAGTGCTACTTGTACACCCAATGTTGTCTCATTACTTGTAAACTTCTATTATGAGTTGGGGCAGTTTGTATGAGTTGTTTAATATATATTAGATTATTCAAAAATGAGACAAAGATTTACTAGTGTTTACAATGAAATATTTTTACTAAAATTGGCTAGAAATAATGTTAAATCATTTTTCTTAGGCTGCCAGCAGTATTGTACCATTGTTAGAAAAGGCTAAGACTGTGATTCCAGCAGAGAGATGGAGTACTACTCCCTTGACCTTGAAAGCCACGGCAGGACTTAGACTTTTACCAGCTCATTCGGCTGATGCCATTCTTGATGAGGTTGGTGTTGTGTTTATTGAACAGTTGATTTTGTGTACAAATACAATTTCTTCATTAATACAGTCAGTTGACATCATTCTAGAGTGGATCAATGTTGATGCTAGTGATGAGGTGAAAACCAGTGTAATTAATGAATTAATACAGCTTTAGATGGGATTCCATGTTCGTGAAGGGAAAATAATGTGGAAAAATGTTTTTTTCTCAATAACTGTTAGTTAATGGTGGGAAAAATATTATTTAGGAAATTTTATAAGCATGGTTAAAACTTCTCCAGTTTCTTGATGTATAGAGTAGTTAATCCAATGAATATTAACATGGAATTTTTAATATTGAATGTTATATGGTGATATACTAAGAGTAAAAGCAAGTCAATTTTATTTTTATTAAATAATAAAATGGTTTTATTTGCCCATTGCTATTTAGTTTATTGCATTTTGTAGTTATAAACTTTAGATTATGTTTGTATTTTGCATACAGATGATTAAGGTTTATCATCATGTAAAACTTAAGGTTGCTACATTTTTACTTTTTAGGAAGTAAGGTAGAAGATAAAAGGATGTGAGCAAACCCGTCTTTACACATTTTTCAAACATTGATTAAAAAAAATAGACGTTCAACATGAGTCAAAATAGCCCTTAGATATTTTAAAGTCTTACAGATGAGATCAAGGGATAAAAAGTATTAAAAAGACTGAACTTTTTTTCCAGGTCAACAAAAAAATTAAGTACTATCCATTTCACCTTATGAATGATTCAGTTTCAATCATGAATGGAGAGGATGAAGGTAAGGATTAAACTACTTGCATCTCAGCATGTAATCAGCTGTGTATACTTAGAAAGATATCAGAAATACATTGTAGGTTGGAGACAGAAGTTTTGTCATTGATTTACTCAATTTGTAGCTGTCTTTAATTTTTCAAAAATGAATAGCCTTTTTTTTTAAAAAAAAACAGTAAAGGTAGTTATTGTTTAGTTTTCTAGCACTGTGGTTACATCTTCAACTTTAGTTAAAATAGATGTTGTATATATTTATTTTATGTACATGGTCACTTATTTTTTTTTTATAGGACTATTTGCATGGTACACAGTTAACTTCCTTTTAGGTAAGTGTTGGAACATTGATTTTTCCTTCTTCCTATAGGAGACAATAAGAAATTAATGCATCTAAAAATAATAATAAAACACAAGTGCAAGCATATTCTTTTGTAGCAGTGTTTGATGTTTCCATAACTTTCATAATCTACATTTTGCTTGGTACACATTGTTCAAAAACTGTAATCTGTAATAAAGCTTGTTTCATTAGTTTTATCTTTACCTTTTTTTGTGAAAGATGGAACTGTCAATATTATTTATTTAATTCAAAGAGTTGAAAAGCCCTAAATTCTGAACAATTTACTGAGAGTGGCCAGTGTGTCATCTTTATGTAACCTTTTTTTTATATATACAATAAAAATGAAGGAAAAATACATAGTCTAGCTCAGAAAGTATTCATTCAAAGATATATATCTAATATAATGTATTCAAATTATATTAATTAGCTAATATAAACTTTTTAATGTTTAAGAAACTTCTAACTTTGTTTTTTGCAGGACACTTAAACAATGCTTCGCACTCTGTTGTCACCTTAGATCTTGGAGGTGGCTCTACTCAAATCACATTTCAGCCAGTGTCTTTAGAAACGCTGGTGTCTATTCCTAAGGAAGACTTGGTGAAACTAAAAATTCAAGAAAATCCAGGTTACCTTTATTCTCATAGGTGAGAAAAATTAGTTTTTATGTCCAAGCTAGGAAGCCGAAAGAACAGTGTTAGTATAGTTTATGTAAAGATGTACATCTGAGAATAGTATACGTAATGGACTGTTTATAAACTCTCTTTGGTAAGGTGTGAAATACATAAGAAACAAGAAAGCATTTCAAATCGTAATGAATATTTTGAAGTGTCACATGTAACATCTATGATGCTTTATCACATTTACAATGTCCCAAAGACTTCTGTTTATCTCCACATTAGGGTTTTTCACACTAAGTTTGGTACAGTATAGAACTGTAAGCTGTTGCTAGGTCAGCTAGCTTTGTTGATCAGTTCTGCAGATGATTGTAAAGCATAAGGGAAGTAACTTCTGTCAGAAAAAATCTGAAATGAAATGTTTTCACATACTGTTTTTTTAAAACTCATCATGAATCAATTAGCAGAAAGGACAAAAAAACTTTTTCAGAGAAGTGTGATGTTTTATCACATTTATGTTCACAAATTTTTATAACTTTGTATATTCATAATTTTCACCAATTTAAGAATATTAAACTGCAACATTTCAAATCAATTCTTGTGTGGTCAACCAATAATTCTAAGCATTGTTTTCTTAGCTTAAAGCACAAAAATAGGATAATACACTGAAAAACTAATTCTTATTAAAAACAAAATCCAATTTGAAGGTGTATATATTTCATAAACATTATTGATACAGAGATCAAAATTTTTAAATGTTATATTTTCTATTCTTAACTGTAGTTATCTGGGAAATGGATTGATGTCTGCTCGTCTCTCTATACTCCAGTCATCAAGTTCTGGTGAAAGTAAGTGATCGGTTTTATAGGTTGACTACATTTTGGTGAGGTTTCAATTGGGTCATTATAAACAGCTCCAAAATAATACTGGCAGTATAAATTTGTAGGTAAAACATAAAATTTAGTCAACTGATGTAAAAGTTATTTTAAATTGTTTAACACTGTATATGGGCTCAATCATTTTGATTAACCTTGTAGCCATGAAACTATAGATACTATAACTCTGATTTTAGTAAGTGTATCTTCACGAAATGTGGCATGCTTTTAGTAAACATTAAAAGTCCATTGTACACACAAAATTAGTTTTTTAATGATTTATTTTTACTGATTTGTCTCCTGAATTTACAAAGGCTACTGAGTAAGTCTGAGTGCAAGGCGATTTCCATGTTTAAAAAAATTAATTTTTTCAACTTAGTTTTCATATTTCATAACCTTTTAGAACATCGTAAATGAATGTCAATTTTTTTTCTTGGTAAAACTTTATATTTTGTCTGTTATTTTCTCTACCCTAATGATATAATGTTTTGGTCCATTTGACCAGTCTTGAAACCAACATGTAACCAAAAATATAAGATAAATCTAAGTCACCTATTTCTTTCTAGAGTGACTATACATTGTAACAGACAGTTACACAATATTTATTTTTGCTTTCAAAGCTAATTGATTTTTCATTTAGTTTTATTTTTACAGTTGCACGTAGACCCTCTCAGTGTATTGCATGGGCAGCTTTGTTCATGATATTACAGTAATTTGTTTATTTACTTTCATTTAAAATTATCCAACCTAATAAGTTTCCAATTTTTACATTTAAGTTAACTTTTATAACAATAAATGAAAATTATGCATAAGCAATTTAGCAATTCCATCTGGAATTTTGTCTTTCAAGTTTTTTTTACTCATAGTCCTAAAACTGATTCAACTGAAGAACACTGACCTTTTTTTTTTAAGGACTTGCATTTCACAAATTATTTTTTTTAAATTCAAATATGCAAATCAGAATACAAAATATACCCGTGCATAGAAAATGAATGTCTTATAATTTAACTGCTGTTCTTACTAAACTATAAATGGGTTAAATAATTCTGACAGCTAGGATGGGCATAGCATGTGTGTTTCACTTTGTTACATGTATATTAATAAAGCAAGAAACTTAGAGGCTGTAAATTTATATTTTAGCTTGGGGAATTATTTTATGTGTGTGAAGAGCATATAGAGGTATAAAGAAAATCTAGAATTTGCAATTTTGAGCAAAAAAGTGTCATGATACAGAGAAGTGAAGATTGAGAACTTGTATAAATATTTCTTTTGAAATTAAGAAATTAAAATTTGTATAATATTAATTTGAATGATGCCAAGATTATTGACATACATTGATAAAAAGTTGTTCAAGTTTTGAATGTAACTCTGTAAGAGGTTGTGATGCACACATACTCTACCCCCAATTTTAAAAGGTTAATATGCTTTGAAAGTATTTTATATGCTTCAAATGCATAAAGTGTTTTAAAAACCTAAGGTGAAAAAGTCAAAGCTGTTTTGTACACTTTGCTTAAATAGCAGCATGTGTATGGTTTCAAAATTAATAATGATTTTGGGAGAATTAATAATAGAATTAACACTGAAATGTGAATTTTTCTTCAGAATGCCTAAAAGATAACTTTAAACTTTGTAGTTTATCTTATCTATTCCTTTGTTAATGATTATTTGAATTTTATAGAATCTTCTGATGAGAAAACAGAAATTCTACACAGTCCCTGTATCCATCCACTGATCCAAAAATCATGGCAGCATGGTGGAATAGAGTATTTGGTAATGTAAGTACATTTCTCTCTAATTCTTGTGTTGCGCGTACTTTCTTTTTCATTACAATATAAAGGTTACATAATGAAGTAAATGAATAAGTTTGTAGTACTTCTATAGGAGGTATAAATTCAAATGTTTTATACTTGTATGTAACTTACGTAACAAATTAAACATCATTATTAGTTTACATTGTGAACTTAGTCACCTAAATGACTAGAGGAAAACAAACTTATTGACAAGGCTTCAATGGTAATTTTCCTTATTATTTTTAAATATATTAGGAGTAGTATTCTATTCTTATAATGTTGTAATTTCCTAACTAGGGGACTTCGGTCTGGAAAGTACAGTTTTGATGCTTGTTATGACAGAGCTAAAAAGTTTATTGGAAATAAAATATATGGTGTGAAAGAAGCAAGTAAACGGCAGTTATATGCTATGTCCTACTATTATGATAGAGCTGTCGACTCGGGGCTGATAGGTAAGGTTTAGTTTGTCGTATTAATGTACTTTGTTACCTTAATTCTTTCAGTTTTAAAACAGTTAAGTACACTGCACAGTGTGTTTTAAGATACTTAAATTAACATATTTGGAAATATCTAGAAACAAGCATTTTATATTTGAGAAAAGTTTGCTTTAAGTTATTTTGGGTGTATGTTTGATAGATATAGATATTCAGCCCATGACCGTAACTTTGAAGAAAACAACAAATTTGGGACTGCTAGTAGCAACAACATTATTATTCTCTAAACTTTTAACAGTAACTGTGTCAGCAATTCCCCATTACTGATGGCCATCTATACAAAAAAAATTAAAGTAACATTTTAAATGGGAAAGTTGTCTAAGTATTAGAAGCCAATAGGAATCATAGGCAAGTTAAGAGGAAAGTGTAAAAATAACATCTGTAGTTCACGTGATTTCTATGCTATTGTTACCTCTAAATGAGCAACCACTTGGGCACAGTATTTCTAATCATACTGTTGCCAAAACTGTACCGTAGAAGCTGCATGATATTAATAGCTAGCTAGCCCATGCCATAACAGTTAAGCAAATGGTTTAATTGTTTCAGCATGGGCTCGGTTTCTGGGACCGACCTTGTAACCATTTTGTAACTTGTTATAGTTTTCATGCTATAACTTTTAAATTAGGAAGCAAATGTTAATGAAATTTGGCAGATTATCAATAAACATTACAATGCTTTCATACACAAAATATAAAATATTTTTTATTAAGTCTCAAGATTTGTAAAGCAATGTTTTTCTCATGCCTTTTTTTTCTTTTCATATATTGCTTATCTATCATGCATCAGAAAATTTTCAAATGTTTTTAATGTCCAGATAGTTATCAAACGTTTCTTAGGGAAAAAACTATGTTTTATCTGTTATTTTCAGTAATTAATCTCTGTATGGCTTTGGTAGATTTGATCGATCTCGTAACCACCATAAAACAATTAGGAAAGAAATATAACTTATGCCTCTTCCATTCTAGAATGAACACACATTATAACACGAAAGCATAAATGTTTAGACTAAATAGCTTAAATCTTATACATTTATACATTTTTATTATATTGACCTTTC